GAGATAGGAATCTCTGGACTTTCCTTCCCAGGCTGGCTTTGAACTGCAATCCTCAGATCTCTGTCTCCTGAATAGTTAGGGTTATAAGCATGAGCCATCAGCACTGATATGTCCATTGCTTCTTGATGAGCATTTCCCTTTTCATTATTCTCACCCATCCCATTTGCCCCTTACCTCCATACTCATTTCTTTTTCTTTTTTTTATTATGAAAATGCCATACAGAGGGGTTACAATTACATGGGCAAGATAATGAGTACATTTCTTATCGAGTGTTTGTTTCCCCTTTCCATCCCTTCCCATCTCCCCCTTTGCCTCCCCTGCCCCCCTACCCTCCCATACTCATTTCTTATTTCCCACTTTATCACAGGTTTGCACTGAATATTCTGACTATTTTCATTAGTTGAACTGGGATCTCATGAACTTTTCCCACAGACTGGTGTAGAACCACAATCCTGCTGCTAGCTGCCTCTCAAAGAGCTAGGACTAGAGATATGAACCATGATGCTTGGCTCAAAGTAAAGTTTCTGAGATAATTTTCCATTCACATGACTATATAAGAGATATTATAGAAGGATTCCATTCATCGATTACTACTTAAGAGGCCAAATTATAAGTCTTTATTGGAGAGCCAGAGGACTGCTGGTGGACTCTTGTCACAAAGATCAGCAGCCTGAAATGCTGTGAGCAGAAAGCTTACATAAGCCAAGCCCATATAACAAAAGTGTTATTATACATAAGCAGAGAAAACCAGATGAGGACACTTAATAAAGGCATTAAATACAAGCAAAGTAAACCAGATGAGGACAACATTAGGGGAAATCAAGGACCAATTATCTAAGGGAAGTAAGACTTCCCTGGAGCTTAACAAATCAGGATATATTGGAAATCCAAAGAATGTCCCTATTACCTCTAGAGTTTTTCAGAGCTGTGTGGAAAGTCCGCTCTGCCCAGCCGGGCACTGAGATGGCTGTAAAGGACAAGACATATTGCTTAGACCAGTTTCCTAACTTCACCTACCTTTCCCCAACATTAACAGCTTATGAAACTGTTGCACACTGTGAAAGCCAGCCTGTGGACACCCACGACATCAGTAAACAAAACATCTCCACCCTCCCGGAGCGTTCTTTCTCAGTCTATTTCCTCTTTGTTCAGACTGGATAATCTTGAGATAGTGTTCTACTCTCAAAGACACTGATATTTCTCTTCGGTTGCCTCCATTCTCAACAGTCCTTATTTCATTTCTATCTTTCATTTATAAATATCTTATTTGGTTCTTCATTATATCTCCTCTTTCCTTGCTGATGCTTTTTCTTCTTTCATTGGTTAGCATGTTCGTAGCTGCTCACTAAAACATACTTTTCCATTACTGCTTTCAAAATGTTGTCAGATGGTTCTGACCTCCGTCACCTTGCTGTTGGCATGTTGCTCATCTTCTTTTTAATTCTTGCTTCTGGGTATAATGAATGATTTTTCTCAAAGTTGCAACCTGGATATTAATGAGCTGTGTTCTGAGACTTTTGGTCTTATTCGAAGTTTCTATTTTAACTGTATTTTTTTCTGACACGGCTCTGGTGGGCAGGGGTGGGAAGGCATTTGGAACTACAAAGGTAAAATCAAACCCTGTTGTCATCCAAGGGCCAATAATCCTTGCTGCTGATGACCACTAGGAAAATGCTGGCTTCCCACAGGAACTCCATTATGGTTCTTCCTGTTCCTCTCCCTCTCCACTGGTCTTCTAATACAGCCTACAGGAGGTGAAGAGACACTGGTTTATGTCCTTACTTTCAGGTGGAGCTCAGTGTTGAAGTGGGTCAACCAGATCAAGGGCCTTATGAAAAACAGAATCTAGTGAAAGAAGCAACAAAATAGCCTAGTGGAGCCAGGCGCCGGTGGCTCACGCCTGTAATCCTAGCTATTCAGGAGGCTGAGATCTGAGGATCACAGTTCAAAGCCAGCCCGGGCAGGAAAGTCTGTGAGACTCTTATCTCCAATAAACCACTAGAAAACCGGAAGTGAGGCTGTGGCTCCAGCAGTAGAAGAGCGCAGGGACAGCGCCCAAGCCCAGAGTTCAAGCCCCACGACGGACAAAAAAAAAAAAATAGCCTAGCTGAAGTTAACTATCTCAATTCAGAAAACCCAACATGAAATAAGAAATAATCCAAAATCCTAATTTTTTGAGCATCACATGAACAACCAATATTATGAAAATATTCCCAAATCTTAAATATGTCACAGTCAGAAATACTTCTGGTCCTCAATGGTTTGGATAACCAACACTCAACTTGTATGTTCTTTCTCTCTTTTTCAGTTGATTTAGAATGCTTCCTTGAAAACAAAATATTTCCAGTGATTTTGGCCTCTTTAAAAATGCCGAGACAGAGGAAATGGAGTGGTATTCAGATCATCAGATCATCAGATCATGTTTACTGTTTGCTCGGTTTTCATTCGTTTTGCAGTATTGAACGACTGCTTTGTGTTAGGAGTTGTGTAAGACAATAGAAAGATGTTGGGGAAAACGCACCTGCATGGTCTCAGATTTGTGAACTGGTATTGACAGTTTAGGACTGAAGTTTGGAAGGTGGGTAAAAAGACTGGAGTTTTCAGTTAAACGTCGTGCATTTGCACACTATTTTAATCTTGCAAATTACAGTACAGACAGGTGAGATGTGTTTGTTGTTAGCAGGGACACTGCTCTTCTTTTTACTCAGTCTTATTTAAGCTTCCACCGCCACAGCTCCTCTCCCATCACCATGGAAATGTGCCCACATGCATTTCTTAACAATAATATTATTTTGTTTTGTTTCAAATTGGAATTTCAAACAGTGGATTGCCATTATCATTATGACAGAAAGCAGAGCCTTGAAAACTATTTAAAGACTTTAATTTTAGGGAAGGTCAATGTGGTTTAGGTACCTCTGGGGTGACTCTACACCTCTAAACTCTTCCAGCCTCTGTTTTTTGTCTTGTGCACTGAGATCATCCAGGAGTTGTCCACTCTGCATCAGACATGGGGATGAACTTCATCTGCTCTATCACTTTTCGACTGCTTTGTCTTCAAATAAGCCTCTAAAATCATGAGATTTGGAGCACTTTTTAAATATGATGACAGGAAATGATGAAGATGAGACCAGCAGAAATTTAATATGAAGATAACATAGCTCTCAGTGACCCCTTTACGGTTTCTGTAGAATCTTATCTAGGGCCCACAACACAGAGTTTTCATTAGGCTCCCCAGATATTTGGGGATTAGGGATCATTAGGATGGCAGTGTTGTGGGTGTGAAGCGACACATTAAAATAGAATATTTCATGTCTTCAGATTGGGAGAGTGGAAATGTTACCAATGTAACACAAATTTTAAATTTTAACCTTGAAAAGAGATTAATTTGTTATTTTTATTGTGATGCATGACACTTGAGTAATAAATCTGTTTTTAAAAATCTTGAAATGTGACAGAAAATTGGAGCAGATGAAAGGAAATCACCAAACAAAAGTTATAAGAATTCTAGGCAATTAATAATCTATAAATGTAGACATGAGCCTTTTGAGAAAGATGTAATTACACAACTCCTGATTCCGTATGTAAATATGATAGATATCACTTTGTATGTTTTCACTGAATTTAAAAACATCCGAAGTCTATGAGGAGACACGGGTATGTGCCTACATCCTTTTTTTTTTTTTTTTGCATGAATTCCCTAATCTTAGCAGTGATATGGTGTTAAGATATGTTGTAGGTATTTATACGGAAAGCGAATACAACATTATGAATTATCTTAGCTCTTTAATAGAGGGGACCCCAACGGGCCATTTTAAAGTGTTACAAATGCCAGAAGAATCTCCAAAAGTAACTAAGGCATTAAACAAAGGATAACACCAACCTCAAGGAAAAAAAAAAAAACACAAAAAAAACCCCAGAAAGTGAGGAGAAAATACACTTTCTGGCTCTGAAGCTCTTAAAAGTTCTGAGCCTGAGCCAGGAAAACTCCTTCATGGTGTGTGTGTGTGTGTGTGTGTGTGTGTGTGTGTGTGTGTGTGTGTGTGTGTGTGTGTGTGTGTGTGTGTGTGTGTGTGTGTGTGAAAACACACACACGGCTCCACAGAGACCATTCCCTGTTAACTTTTCAAGTCTAGCCCCCCAGTCTCCTTTCCTAGTCTCAGTCTTGAAAGCCAGGAGGGGCTCTTGAAATGTGTCCCAGGGGGACACGGATGGGAGTTCATTTGAAATGCCCGCACACCCGCGATAGGCCAGAGGATTAGAGAGATGCCTGCGGGCTCGTCTTCACTCTGGGGGCCTAGTCTAGGAAAGAGCCCCAGGAAAAGAGTCCTCAACACAGCCATGGGAGAAGCGCACAACCCAAGCCAAGACCCGGGCCCAGAGCTGAAGGGCGTTCCTCCTCCTCCTCCTCCCTCCTCTCCCCTCTTCCTCCCCTTTTGCCCCTCTTCTCCCCCCCCCCCCCCCACGCCCATTCCCGAAATAAAAAGGCGCGCTGCCCCTTTAAAGGGCCGCGCATCTCCAGGCCGGCCTTCCTCCCCGGGGCTCCAGCTGTGATTGACGCTGGGCGGCGGGAGGAGGCGCCTGGCGCTAACAAAAGTCCGGCTCGCGGGGCGCAGCGCCCGGCCGCCGGCCTCGGCTCGCTCGGGGCGTCCGCAACAAGTGGCCGCCGCGCCCTCCCCGGGGAGCCGCGGACGCGCAGGGGCGCCTGGCGGCGGCCGAGCGTGGAGCGGGGGGGAATCCCCCGGACAGCCGCGGGGCGGGGAGGGAGGTCGGGGCGGGCGGATGGGGACCCCGCGGCGGCGGCGGCGCGGGGCGCTGTGGGGCGGTCCCGGGGCGCGGGCGGTGCGCGGCGCGGCGTCCACGGGTCCCGGGCGCGCACTGTGAGCGCGGCCCGCAGCCCTCCGGGGTGCCGAGAGGGGACCCCTCCGCCGTCCCCCGCGCACCCCTTCCCGACGGAGAGCACCCCCCCCCCATCCGAGATCGGCCCCGGAGCGCGCGGTGCAGCTGATGGTCCCGTCGGGCCGGCTCTCCTCCGGCCCCGCGCGCGGCCGGCGCGCCCCAGCCATGCAGTGTCCCGGGAGGCGGCGGGCATGACGGCGACAGGATGGGCGCGAACAATGGCAAACAGTACGGCAGTGAGGGTGAGTGGGCCCCCCGCGCGCCGGCCCCCCGCGCTCTGTGCCCCTTGGGCGCTCGCTCGGGCTGGCGCTTCCCCCTGGGCACCGAGGGCTGCGCCGGTGGCGTCGGGGGATGCCGGCCTGGTTTAATTGTCTTATTCAGGCTCCCCCCGCCCCCGGGCTTGGACTCTCTTAAGCGATTCCCCGGCTTGTCTGCGAGTCTGTTCAGATTGCCTTCCTCCTCCCGAGGTGGCGGTTCTGGGCGCGTGCCTCAACTTCCCCTGCCCCTGGGCGTCTAGGGGGTGGGTGCCGGGCGGCGGCGTGGTTGGGTGAGATGGCGGGAGACGTCTTCAAAACAAAATAAAACCAAGAGACATTCCCAGGCCCTTTGTGCTTTCGCCTCCCGGACTTTCCTGTAGCAGGAAAGAAAAAAAAACCCAACACAAAACCACCAAAACCTTCTGGAAGAAGAAGTTAAGCTCGCATTCCTTGCGAGCTGCCCGGGTCTGGCAGCTGCGGGACACGGAGCACCTCTGGGTCCCGCGCGAGGCCCCGGGCGGCCGGGAGCTTTGTCTGGGCTCTCTCTCGGGGCTCCACCCGGGCAAAGGACCATCTGTTCTTTGGGGCTGGAAAATGGCACAGAAATATTGCCTGTCAAGGGAGAACTTGGAAGTTGGGGAAACTTTAAACCCCGCCCCCTCCTAAAAGGATGATGGATGTGTGGGTTGGCTTCTCCCTCGTCCCTCCTCCCCCTCTTTGCATAATGCCGCAGTGTTTTAACTCGCCTGATTAACTGCATCACCCCGATAGTGCATTTTCTGCAGTTCAGAAGTGAAGGCTCCTATCTGGTGAACTTGGCTGGAGCGGAGTGGAAGAGAAAGGGTTGGAGTTACATACAGCCTGTCCCCCCTGAGGACGGGCGGTTACAAAGGAGGGGCCGGGGCCAGCAGACTGGTAGGAATGCAGAATAGCTATTCAGCATGTGGTGTGAAGGAAACTCTTATCATCCCGCTCAGAACTTGGAGCTGTGGTCACGGAGTGGGCATGTCTCTCCCTGGGCTGGTGTCTGTGTTGGTTCATTTCTCTGAAGCTCTGTGAAATCATAGCAGAAGCCACTCCTTAAAGAAATCAAAACAAAATAATTAAAAAAAAAAACACCGTAAAGTTATTTATAAGGCTGGAAGTGTGTCTCAGATGGTAAGAGCTACTGAGGCCCTGAGTTCGAATCCCACTACCACTGAAGCAAAAAAAAAAAACCTGGTTAAACGGTATCACATGCTACAAAAGAATTATCCACATGAGCCTTTGTGTAAACAAACACGTTTCCAGATCATGTTTTTAATTCCACATATATGAAAGATAAATATGCATCCATATCCTAGGCAGTTCTATGAGCATTATTATTATTAGGTTTCAGTTTATTTTTTGCAGTTTTCTTAAAAAAGATTAAATGGTTGTCTTTATATTGGTAAATGTAAAAGCATGCTATAAACAATTACCGGAGAATCTTGGTTGTCAGTTTGCAGAAAGTCTTTGAGTGTTTTAAAAATGTGTGGCAAAATGAAAGGTGAAGCCAACTAACTGAGTCTTTACAAAGCTCGCAGTGAGCATGTGTGGGTTTCTGGCAGTTCTAGGTGCATGTGCACAGGGAGAGAAGAGGGCAGCCCAAGACTCTACCGAGTCCTAGCTCTAGCATCTTCTGGAACAAAACCCTCGCACAGTCCTAATCCTCTAACTTGTTCCTCCATCCCAGATTCTCAGATTGTACAGTGTGTGGTATATGACGACTTCCCGTCTGAACAGCAGAATTTTCAGCCCTTGGGAGAGAAAAGGAGAGACAGGGAACTAATGCTCTCCAGCTGTTATCCGTAAATGCTACCTCTGCATTTTCACTTCAGCCCGAGTTAAGTTTTACTGGGATCAGATTTAGATACACTGCGCACTTTTTATAGGAGAAACTTCTTGCACTCAGCTGATTGAAGGGGACCAATAGAAAACTCTGGGAGGTAACTGTGAGCTTTGGCTGACTGTGCTTAGTGTTTGTCAGCTCTGTTGGAATGAGTTAAGATTTCTCTGATGAACGAGTTATACGCTAGAGAAAAAGTCACATGGTCGTCCCTCCTCCTGCTTTTCTTTCTCTTCTCTCTTATACTGGATGTAGTAAATATAGTGCTGTTGCACTATATTTAGAAAACTCTATGTAGTGAAGCCTGTTGGGATTTGGTCTGTCAGTAATCATCTTTCTTATTTAAAACATCAAGATTCTGTGGCAGTGAAAGTAGCCCTAGACATAGAATCTAGTATCAAAGGAATCTGAGAATTAAGATACTTTGCAAGATTTAGTTCAAATTAGGCGTGGTATATTTCCAGTGTAAACAAGAAATTGTTAGTGCCTGTCTATGTATAAACTTCAGTGAAACTACTATAGACTTAACTAGAAAACATTGGTTCTGGTCTGTACTTCAAAAATCTTTAACTATATATACATGGGCAGCAGTTTAGTAATTCATGCAGTGCAAAATGTCTCATTGAGATTGTAGTTATTCTTATTTTTTTATTTTAATTTTTGTCGGTCATGGGGCTTGAACTCGATGCCTGGGCACTGTCCCTGAGCTCTTTTGCTCAAGTCTAGCACTCTACCACTTGAGCCACAGCGCCAATTCCAGTCTTCTGATGGTGAACAGAGTAAGAGTCTCACACACTTTCTTGCCTGGCTGGCTTTGAACTACAATCCTTAGATCTCAGAGTAGCTAGAATTACAGGTGTGAGCCATGGGTACCCAGCTGATATTACAATTATTCCTGAATTGTTTGTACCATGAAAAGTCACTATTTCATAAAAAAATCTGACTTATCTTGAGTCATGGATAATACATTTTTCATTTTAAAATGAAGTGATTCTGGAAGCTTCCTTTTAGCAGGTGGAATAGGATAACCATTTCCAACCATTTCCATTGGACTTAGCATTGCCTGAGAGCTTGTCATAACTAGAATCTTGGCTTCTCTCTGGAATGGCACAGTCATTTCCCATGTGCACATTCATGTTTTGGGATGTGCTTGTATAAGAGCATCAGTTTGGGAGTCTGGGATTTCAGTTCAGCTTCAACTCCTGGGGTCTTCTCTCAAATGAAGAGAGGAATTTCTTAATGGCACGATACGTCATGATCTCGTCCGTGAGTGTGTGGCCCTTTGTTTCATTTTGCTCTCATAGTGCTTTAATGGATCACTTAGAGAAGATTAGCCTTGTGCAGCCTGGTTAGAATTAATAGGCAAGTGAAGATCATTACCGCCACGGAATCAGTAAATACTCCACCTCCTTTGTCACTTCTCTTTCTCATCTCTATCTTCCTCCCTCATTCCCACTGCTGCGCTCTCCCAACTCAGTTGGTCCCTAAATCCTTGCTTTTCTCACTAGATCAAAAGCATATGTACTCAATAATGAGTGTTCCCAAAGTATTTTTCCCCCCTCTAAATCCTTAATGGTCTGATTTTCAGCCCCAGCTCCTGGTGCCTTTAGGCAGACTTAGAATTTGCTCTAGGAGAAAACTAACCATGGCATTCCTGCCTCTAGCTTTCTAGAAACCTAAGTGTATGTTTAAATGATTGGTATGTTCTGGTAAATTCTTTTCTAGAGGACTGTTTCTTCCCCTCAGTCTTCTTTCAGAGAGTGTTACATCCAGTGTGTAGAAATCTAGGGAATGAGTTGGGAGGTTCAAAGCCACTAGATCCATTAGCTTTGACTCTAGTTAAGCCAAATAAACAAATCTCAGCTCCAGTAGGAAGAGGTGAGCGGCTTTCCCTGCCTTTTAAGGTTTCTGCGCTTCACCATCACTTACTTACTCAGTGGTTTCAGTGTTCTGTTTATTCTACTTCTGCAGGTCAGAGACAGTAGCACGTGTGCGTGCGTGCGCGTGCGCGCGCGCACACACACACACACGCACACTGTTAACAGCTCCTTTGCAAAGCTCTGGATATTGTTGATTGAAACTGAAGAGGCCTCATTCTGGGGTCGGACCCCTGGTAGCTCTCTGCTCTGCTGGGGGTCCTTTCCCCATCCCAGATCAGTGCTGTCAGATGTGGAGAAAGTGTAAATAATCACAAATCTATCGCCACCTTGGGAACTGTATCTTGACATAACTGGTAACTGTGACAGCTAATGCTAATGGAAAGTTTACTGTGGCCCGAGCCCTGGACGTGCACTGCCATACCCCATTCCCCTGATGACGTGGTGGGGCACAGGCTGTTTTCTGCCCCCTTTCACCAAGTTGGAAATCCAGGGCCGGAGAGAATCATCTGTTTTTCTGGAGTTGTGCAGTAAGTGTAGTCCTATGAGACTCTCACTACAGAATCATTGGCCCATTCATTAACTTAGCTATGTTACTTCCTACTGTGCCAGGGATTCTTATATTCTCCTGATAAGTGAGTAAACAGGTAAAGATTCTGACCTTGTCAGATGTATATATTGTATGTGTGTGTAAGTGCGTGCACATGTGCACGTGTGCGCATGTGCGCTGTTGAGAAGAAAAAGAACAACTAACACTCATACTGTAATTCAGCAAGTCATGTGTTGGTTATATTACAAGGGACCAAGGTCTCTAAATAAAGACAATTGAAGATTAAGATGATAGAGTGTGGGAGGGAGAAGGTATTTACCATCTTAATTAGCCGCTGTGTGCCTCACTGAGAAGGCAGACTAAGACTTCAAGGAAATGAAGGACTGAACTTTGAGGATCCGGGTAGCTTGTGGCCATCTGCAAGCACTGTTTCCCAACCATGGTGAATACTCCTATGCTTTTAGTTTGAGCTGCTCTAATGAAGTACCGTGCACTCCATGTCTTATAAACTACACAGAGTTATTTCTCATGGTTCTAGAGGTTGTGTTCTGGCTGCACATTGCCATTTTCTCTTTGTGCCCTCTTATGATTAGGGTGGAAAGAAGAGCTGGTGAATTCTCTGGCCTCTTCTGAAAGTGCAAGATCCAAATCATGAAGGATCTACTCTCATGACTCCGTGACCTCACTTCAA